TAGAACTGGATCATGTATACTGTTTGCATTGGTTGCTATAGCATTGACAGTAGTATATGGTATCAAAGTAAAGATATTTACGACAACTTGTACCAGAACCATTATAGTTAATTGTTTATCTAGTTCACGTCGAACAAGAGGCATTGCACGATGTGTGGTTTGTTGTACGTTATAATAAGCCATCAATCCAAATAAAGTTGCAATAGTAACGGGTAGATATCCAATAAGACCAAGAAGGATAATAAAAGCACGATATTGAGTAAAAATAATATTTGTACTAGCACATGTGACTCTGTTTGTAACAGACGATTGAATATGATTAAAATACACTAAAAATGGAATTCCATGCAAAGCCCATATGATAATACTTATGATTACTAGACGTTGAGCCAATTTGATATTACATAATTGTTGCCAACGTGGACGAGAACACGTAGCACAGTATTGATCGAATGTAGCTAAACAGAGACATGTCAATGAAGTTGCAGTACATACATGAAATAAATAGAATCGAAATTTGCAATAGAATAATGATGTTTCTGTTCCATCAATATCATATAGTGCGATCATAATCCGTGAAAAAAGACCAGTAAACAATTGACCAATGTTAAAAATAGACATTATAGTTAAATAAAATGCACATGAACTTTCTCGAAATGTTCGAAGACTAAGTAATACAAGAGTGTTAAGAAGTCCTCCGCATACACCACCAATAAAGATGGGTGTTCCACAATAGATGATTATTTGTTTTCCAACAAAAGAAAATGTTGTTGACATTTTGACTTATAACGATGATGTTCTTGATTAAAAATGATTAATTTTCTTCTGCAACAGAAGCAGACTATTGACCTATATCCTTTTGCTTTAACATATAAGTACAGATAGAAAAAGACAGAAAAGTTTGACGTAAAAAGAAGTAAACTTTCATTTGTCACGATTTAACATCAGTTTTTACCATATAATTACTGTCTTTTTCTGTTAACATTATCAACCGATGATCAATAATAGGCATAGAACACATGTATCTTTCATTTATATGAAATTTTTTTTGACGATGTTTCTTAATGAGAAACAACTGTGTTTATTAGATTATTAGTTACTGAAGCTAATTAGCATTTTTTAGTAATTTGGCACGATCAACAATATCCAGGTATAATCTTGAAATATAATGACATAATTATGGAAATCAGGGCTAAGAAAGGCCATGTGGAACGCGTAAAAGAAAGAAGAATATGCACGAATAGAGTAATTTTTATATGAATGAAAGTTTTGAATTCATTGGAGCGTTAGGTTTTTGTGTTTCTTATTTCTTATGTAATTCATTCTGATATAAGAAATAACTAATAAAATCTTTTAAGTGTATAGATAAAACTAGCTTTATAGCACACTTTTCACCTGATATACGACATATTTTTCTAGTCAGTTATCACATCTGGATAATTCATCAAATTAATGTCAAATGTGAGATCCTCTTATATACTAAAGCGAAACTGATCTTGAGAACCAAAGTTCGATAGTTAAACTAAAATTATGGAGTTGATTTAACGACATCTTTTTTTGATGTCTTCTTCAGAAAAATTGGTTGAACTTCTGTCAAACTATGATTGCAGTGGGGTGCCATCATTTACGCGAAACTGGAATTATGCAAAAATTAAATCGTAGTTTCAAAGAACATTTATTTTAAGGTATTCCTATCATAATTTTTTTCTGACCCTTCCACTCAAATCAGATGTTACCATGCATAGTGCATTTGAGATTGATTCACATTTCTCACGATGCTTTATATCACTAATCATATATGATCTGTAGTCTGCTGAAACGGATTGGTTTAGTATCAGACATTTGTTTCCAAGCTACACTTGGCATATACACACGCACTAGAGATTAAAATTGTAATTAATTCTAACTTCAAAAACACTGATTAAGAAAAGTACTACAGAATTTTGGGTGTATTGATTAAAAAGCATACAAGTGTCGCTAATTTTAAATGAACTACTGAAAAGGATCATCATAACGCCATGCCATGCAATGGAGATCGTTGATATGGCTATTTTTTCTCTTATGTTTTGTATTGAAATAAATCCTGATCTTCAAGAAATCTTTTGTACTTTTGTTTTTATTGTACAATAGTAATTACTCTTTGTTGATGAGCTTCCTTTTTATTATAACTTATTAATATAACATGTTTATGTTTAAAAACAATTCTTCTTTTTGACTCGAAGCAGAATATAATCTATTCATTCTCAGTTATCTTCTCACAACAATTTACTTTTATGCACAAAAGAATTAGTTTATATTCGTTTCAAAAGCATCGACTTTTTTCTTTGTTGTTTTATAATAAGATAAAACATAACAAAAAGAAATGTGTACCATCGTCTATACGTATTTTTTAAACTTTTAAAATAAGACCTTCTTGATGAAAATGACCTATAGCATCATGCATTATGACTGGGTGTGAAGATGTGGAGTGTCGGTGTGGGTATTCAATCAATGTGACATCCACACCCCAATGAGCTAGAAGACCTAACCCAGCTTAGCTCATTTGTTTGTGATCTTTTCTATTGATCACAACACAAGCACGAATGGCTTTGAACAATGCAACAAAATATGTTTTATCGAAAAAAAAAATTTTCATTTTTGTGATTTCTCATTACTGGAAAATACATATAACAAGGAATGCTTTTAGGATATTTTGACTCGATTCAAAAATACAAACCATTTCGACTAGCTTTTTCTGAAGCTGTTGATCGCTTTAACTACCAGCTAATCCTAAATGTTTTCAAATTGATTGACCAAACTTTGACTCTACCATATTGCGTCACTAGGTCTAGTTTTGACTGATCTCATAAGCATTTATTGCAGAAAAAACAATTCTACTATCTGGAAAGATATTTATGTGACTTGATCCTATATCCATCTATATAATATTTGTTGGATAACGTAATCTTAAGAAAACTACATACATATGATGTCGAATCAAAATTTAAAAAAGATTAAGAAAACTTTAGTATATCTTTGACGTAATACTGGACTTAGGTTGTGCCAAAAACATTCGAAAGACCGATCTGATTTTTTCTGTAGAGACGGAATGATTTCCTAGCATACATGTTAGTCGATAAAAGCTAAGAGATTGCTCAATCAAAAGTTTGACGAAATGATATCGAATCTCATTTTTTTCAAGTGCACACTATTGATACTATGGAAAATATATAATAATTCATCTTATATAAATATGTTCGACAGTAGTGGATAAATGATACAATAAATAACGTTCAAATCATTTACATCCATGATTAGCCATGGTATTATCAATCAAAATATCATTGTAGATCAGCAAACTCTATCAACATCAGTTGTAATGAAGAAACTATGATGAAACACCGATCGATAGGCATTACATAGAACATTGTTTAATAACAATAATAAACTGAATAGATGAAAGTACTTTGTTTAAAAAACTTCTGCACTGTGGGGTGTAGGGTATTTGCACCCACCCACACCCTGTTAGAATATTTTAACAAACAAAAAACGAAACGTGGCAGTGAATAAAATTCGACATTTTTTTTAGTAATTTTAATTGAAGCACATTAATATTTTGTTCTAAGATAATTATTTAGTTTTCGGTTTAATCGACTGCTGAAAAGCAAAAGTTGAGATAAGTAGATTGATTTATGTTTTTCATGGAGATATACGTCGATCTGTTTTTGATTTGATTCATGACTATTGCTTGCTGTCAAGAAGGTTTTATTGACGAATGATATTGCTTGAAGTTTAATTGATTGTAGTGAAACTCTATTCACATAGACGATCGTGAAAAGGCAAAGTAATCGTGCACTGATTACTCTATATGATATTCTCACATATATAGCCGTTATGGAATTGCGGCGATTTTTATTTTATTATTTTATTACCTCATCACTACGGTTGTAACGGAAGCTGCATATGATCAGGATTTGGTTTGAATTCACTTAAAACATCTTCAAATCTTACCGAATTTATGTGCCAACATTGTCTGCTTGTATATGTATGTTGATGCAGAATTCTGTCTACAAGCTACTGTTATCCTATTTTTCATTTTCTTCTCGTGAACTTCAGTATGACATTGTCTCATTTTTCAGTATCATCCATCACAATAGAAGGTGAAAAAGAACGACAACATGCCCTATTTGACAGTTATTGCAGGTTGTTGTTGATAATAAGATAACAACATTCTCTTAAATACTGTGATGATAAAACTAGTTTTGACAACTCATCGAATTTAACCTGCCTTCTCGTCATTCCTGTTTGGTTCATCAGGTTTGCTTAAAAAAACTTTGATTCAATAAAAAAAAAAAACTATTTTTGAATAATACTTTGAGATTGATAAAATCATCCGCTGTGGGAAAAATAGAGAGACGGTGGACCATTCTAGCGTTGAAAAATTGATAGCGACCTCTCAAAGAGTGATCTCACACGGGTAGTTGAGTTCAACTCAAATCAAAGGATATAGACTGTATGAACCTGTTCTAAATGACCTTACAGAACTGTTCGATAAAGGTAGAAAATTGATAAGCAATGATATTGCTTACTGCAAGATATATCGTTGTTAGATATCCATATTCATATGAGATGTTCGGCACTCGTCTAAAATTCTGTCGTCTTTCTTTAATTAACAGAACGATTCCATATTTTAGTCCTTTTGATAACAAGTCCAAATACGCTAGTAATGGAGTTCTGAAATGCTTGATAAGTGTATTTCAGTAGGTAACAGTTTTTATTTCTGTGTTCATTCCAAGTAGCACGTTTGTTACTAAGCTGTATCAGGTCTTTTGTCTCATTTTCGTTCTTTCAAGTATCATCGTAAAATGTCATTCATGTGGAAGGATTTCGTTATGGTTTGGTTCGTTTCGAGCATCGTGACTGTGCTGTTCCGTAATGTGGTAACACAATCAACGGTTCCTGATTATGTGCGACGTTTTGCACCTGAACTACGGTTTGACCGTGCATCGAAGGGCTATCCGATGTCGGCTCAAGAATTTTATGAAACATTACAAAAGTATCAATCGGGTCCATTTCGAGTGGAAAATTTGGATCGCTTAACACTGACAAATCGCAAGATACCGACTTATTATCGGATTCGTACCATTGGCAATCATATTCGCATTATGTACTGGTGGTTTTATGGCTATCAGTATCCATGTTTCTTAAATCAAGGTGCGCACAATGGAGATTGGGAACATGTAATGGTGATCTTGACAGAAGACCGTACTGCTGTGGCTGCTGTCAGCTTTTATCAGCATAGTGGACACTACACTCGAATTGCTGGCCCACGCGATGCTCCGTGTGCCCCAGCCGGTGCTGGACGTTGCTCGGGCTCTTTTGGTTTTGAAAGAAGTGGTACTCATCCAGTCGTATATTCTGGCAAAATTGCGCACGGTTCTTATCACGATAAAAAGATCGTTGGCCTTCCTGGGCCCACCGAGTGTGCGTACTTCGGCGATTTTCGTAATCCGAAATCGATTGATGACTATTTGCAAAGCTGGAATAATCTAATCGATCTCGATGGTGATGAAGAGGCTTGGATCATCGCGGATAGAACTGCCAACTGGGCATGGGGGCCAGGAGGTATCACTAACCATCCAACTAAACGTTTTCCGGATGATGCCGAACATTCTGTTGCCTGTACAGGAAACGTCAACCTTGGTGTGGCTGACGCAGCTTGTTATCAATCAGAATGCCTATCAGGCGATGAGGAGACTACCAGCAACTGCGTGAAAGAATGGAATCCCAAATTGAAAGTCTATCATCGCATGGCGAAGACAAATGCATACATGTATAACTACATACTGCCACATCAAGATGCCGGCTTGATCCGTCGTCGTAATCATGAAAATGAATGGAACCTACCATAAACATTGACTAACATATAAAAATTGCGAAACTATATTTCGACTAAACGATTAGATAGATGTTCGTTCGATATCTGAGAAACGACATTTATGATTGATTGATTTATGCAGAATAAATTCCACTTCGATATATTATTAAAGAAACCAAACAGAGATAAACAAGTAAAAAAATAATGATGTTCATCGATAGTAGTAAAAAGAGACCTACAAGCAGATGTCAGACATACTTTAGTGAACTCTCTTGTGATATGTGCATGAAATATATGAGCATCTGACGCAAGGAACTCATGCGCTATGAACCCTTCTTGAGGTCTGCGCATGTCGTGCTTATGAGAAAAGAAATTCTATGTAAAAAAAAAACGGTACTTTCAAGTTTCAATCACTCTCCGAATCGAGCATCCTTTTGTGGAAGAAAAGTTCGAATTGAAACAATGTACCTACTGGCTTCAACTCTGATTTTTATGCATTTTTTTCTCATACGTGTAGATATCTTGAGCTTCTTCAATATTTCCAAAGGTAAACAAAAAGATGAAAAAGCATGGATTAGTTCAATATTCGACTTTGTAAATAGCCATCAACAGACGAAATGCGATCGGTGATAACCAAGGGAGAAAAAGCAGATTTTGGCATCTAAAATCTTTGAAAATCTCTAGAAATCTTTAGAAATCTTTGGAAATCCTTGGGAATCTTGAAATCTGCTTTTTCTCCCTTGCAAAATCCGCATATTCTGCTGAGTATATCAGGAGTCGGAGGCAATACTTATTACAGTGATCGATTCGTCAGCTATCTAAGTAATTACAATCTAAAAATATTTTTCTCGTCACCACTTTTGTGCAGCTGCAAAATTGATTGAATATAGTAAAGCAGTTCAACAATTATTTGGGTGTGGGTGTTTGTGTGATATTCCTACTTTTCTACACCCACACCCCACACCCATACACCCATATCCGCATGATCTTACCCCGGTGTGCGATTTTTAGATCGTGTTTCTCGAATTTGTTCAATATGTTGAACAATATAGGTATACAAAACAACTGAAAATGTTCATGTTTTCAGCGTTCAGACTAAAAGATAATTAAAACTATAGACGATTGAAATTCGAATAATGAGTCTCGTGAATTACTCCATCGTAATACGTAAATTTTAGAAGTAAAAAAATAAGAAAAATGATCGTACTGTAAAGTTAAAAGTCTGAAGTATTCTAATGCAAAGTAAATATTTATCAAAAATAGACCATCTGTTATTTTTTCTTTTCAAGATAAATAATAGTAATAAAAGAAGGATAGTTAGATAACCATTAAACATTAGCTGATATATAAAAACAGTGTTACCACTGAAGAGTAGGATTTAAGGACGTTTTGAAATGAAATCCATGAAGCTTTCAATCTTATTGTTGATCGGATGTCTTTTATTTACTGTTGTGCAATCGACACAATCGGTTAATAAAGGTTTAATTATGCATGAAGGTATATCGATTTTGTCTAACACCATGGGTTGAATCAAAAAATAATTATGTGAAATTTTATTTCCATAGGCAGATGTCCTCAACCACCATTTGGCTTAATGTGTCGTCGTATAGCCTGTATGCCTCAAATGGTAGAAAGAACTTGTACAAATGATGGTGGATGCAAAGAAAATGAGAAATGTTGTCATATACCATGTTCATGTAAGATAACATGTGTTGCAGTATAAAAAAAAGTAGACTGCTATGACTTAATTTACATCATCATTTTTAAATATTGTTATTGGTCTGCTTTTATCATTATTAATAAATACTTATGACTATCTTTATACTAGTTCTGTGTGTCTGTCAATTCCTCACACTTTTATGGTAGATAGTACCATAGTCAATGTAGACCTTTATGAATATTCTAGAAAACTTTAAGAGCCTCAATAAGGAAGGAAGTAGCCAACAAATTATCTTGATTAGGCATGCAACGATCCGAGTCAGGGTTCGGTGATTGGACCCGGGTTCCCATGTTAATGAGCCGACTCTAGCTCGGGTTTAGGCACTAACGAACGGGTTCGAACTCGAGTTTCAACACTGCCGAGCCGACTCGGACTCGGGTTCAAATTCTTTCTGGAAAGTAAATATTTATTTTGCAGGAGGGAGAGGCAATATGATAAGTAGCAAATCCGATTTGCTAGCTTTTGACAGCTTTTTATCCAAGATGATCTTCGTCTTCCAAAACCACTCGCCCAAAAAAGTCAGAAGACTAATTTTGCTACTTATCACGATTGATGTGCGCAGATATTTTCTGACGAGCCGGTTCCGCAGTTTGCGAACCCGAGTTTGGGCTTGCTCTTGCCTCACTAAAACCGAGTCCGAGCCGGTTCTTCAATAAGCAAGCCCGAGCCCGAGCTAACCGATTCGTTCCATGTCTAATATTCATTACTAGGCATTTCAAGTGTCTAATTTATCATTCTCTGGAAATGATGATACATTCCTACTGTACTAATCACTACCTAACAGAGGCTGATTTGGTATTTTGGAGTTCAAAATGTGCAATAAAATGTATTACTTACAAACTTGAAACGCTTAAAAATCAAGCTGTGCAGTTTTGGGTGTGGGTGTGGGTGGGGTGCGAGTGTGAGTAGAGTGCGAGTGTGGGTGTAAGAATAGTCTTCTCTTCATCTACACGCCCACCCACACCCACACCCACACCCATACCCGTCCATACCCACACTCCAAACTCACACCCACGCTTTGACTCATACAGTTTGTGTGTGCAAGAGCACTTTTGACAACCATGATTGAGTAATACCGATGAATGACAAAAAGAAACGATAAAAGAAAAATATAACTTTCTACTTGCGTTTTACTTTTTGAATGAATGTCACCTTTTTTCTTGCTTTCTTGTCATATCCCATAGTTCTAATACAAGGGGAAATAAATCAGAAAATAAGTATGTATATTGGGAGTCTATGTGTGGATGTCAAACATTCACATCCTGTTGAAATTGGGAAGATGCAAAATGACTCAACTTCAAGAGAAAAATGAAATATCTTTATCAACAATCTTCTTATACCTACTGTGTTTAGATGAGTTTTTCTTTAACATATCAATATTAAAACAGGCATGGAAATTATTACACTACATGAACAAAACGTGCTGATCAGAGCTTAATCTTCAAAATTGTAGGTCATCAACGGGTCAACTGTTGCTGTATTCATCTTCTACAATACGTTGTCTAAGTTACTGTAAAAAGAAATTATTTTTTTTAAATCTGAAATGATAACTTGGCAGACAAGTTGATCATTCTATCTAAAACTCACGAAGCGCTTTCATATTAAAGCTTGCTGATGCATATCAATTGCAACACGCATAGATCTTCCGTGAACAAACAAATAGAGACGAAGTTGAACGATCAAACAGAAATTTGGGACCATCGATCTTCTGCAATGATCATACATGCAATCGGTAAGACAGTTTATTTTTTGAATTATTAAGATGTAAGGCATGCCAAAATGATAAGACCTCTGCAAATTGTGATAACAACAAATATTTCTACAACTAAAGAAGCTTTCGTTGTCGATCTAATGTCATATGTCCATGGACACAAAGTAGCAATCTATCATGTGCTATATTAGTTTGAATTTGATCAATTAATATTAAAGAATAATTTCAAAAGTTTCAAGTCTCAGGTGTGATATAATTATAGGACCCCTCTCCCTAAATATAGAAGTATTGGATTAACTCTATTTTTGATTGATGTGAAGCTACCACAACACAATCGATTACCAAGATCTTGATAACTATTCTATTGGAAAGCCCCACCTCATCAATGAGTAGACATCATAGCTGTCGCACGCATCCAATAGAACTGAAATAACATGATACATTGTTCGCAACAGTCACATAATGCACTGACAAAATAGCTTTATATGTCATTCCAGAACCATACATATAGAATAACAATGAGATTCAATCAGTCATATCTTTCGTGGAACCGGAAAACTACCTATAACTTTTGAAATATGAGTCAGCCCAGGAACATGATTCCTTTTGCAAGCGAGCGCCTTCGTTTGCCAGACATCAATCATCAGTCCATCAGTGCAAAATTCGATGGTCCATGTAATATAGAAGTCATTGTTTCCGAGAAGGACATCCTCCGACTCAAAATGTAGAAAAATCAGTGGTATTCTGGGGGTGTGGATTTGTGCCGTCTTTTCAGGCACAACTAGAGCCTCATCCACATCTGCTTTCATTGAATACATTATTTCCTTAGAAGAATACTTTCTTTCTTTATACTATTTTTTGTTATATTTTGATTGATGAACATCATAATCAATTTTATGATTAATAAATTTTTCTTCATATAAATATACTTCGTCTCTTTTCAATTTAGCATCATTTGTGCATACAGTTTGTTAAGTTGAATTAGGTAGTTAAAAAAAAGGAAAAGAATGTCGATGGACTGAGCAGAGAAGTGGTAAGTTCAGCAGATTAATTACGATTGAAAAATACCTGAATAAACAATTTGAAAATAAATATTATTCTAGTCTGTTGTTGAAATAAATGACACTAGTACATTTACCTTCAATAATCCAAAGAAAGAAAGAAAAATGCTCTTTGAGAAGAAAACAGTCATCTTTAGAATTGGATTAATGATTTTATTTTAAGTTATTCATGCTATAAAAGAATGAAAATATATTTCAATGTAAGAACACACGACAGATAAAGTTCATTATCTTTTTCTTAAATTAATTATGTTTGGATTTAATAACGTAGGAATTTTTGTATACGATGATTATTTGAATCGGCGACATATAAATTTAATTGACTATCAAGTTTTATTGACCATGGCCTGTTCAGTAGAGTGGCATTGTCTCCCGATATACCTGTGACCCCTGCAATAGTTATCCCATCTGATTGACCGACCATAAATAATTGAATTCGATGATTATTTCGATCAGCAACATACATATTACCCATAGGATCAAATGTTATGTCAACAGGCAAATTCATTAGTGTTGATGTATTGCCTACTGTTCCATTAATG